GACCGTGGAACGGGAGATATCATTGCTGAAAGCAGAGAATGTCAGAAAGATGTTTACCTGTACTTTATAGACTACACAAAGGCTTTCGATTGTGTGGATCATGACAAGCTATGGACAACTTTGCGAAGTATGAGTGAGTATTCCGGGACATTTCATTGTACTCATGAGGAATCTTTACCTGGACCAAGAAGCAGTTGTTCGAACAGAACATGGGAAAACTGAATGTTTTAAAATTAAGAAAGGTGTGCGACAAGGTTGTATTCTTTCACCATACTTACTCAACCTGTATGCTGAGCAAATAATATGAGAAGCTGGGTTCTGTGAAGAAAAACGTGGCATCAGAATTGGAGGAGACTCATTACCTACCTGCGATATACAGATGATACAACCTTGCTTGCTGAAAATGAAGAGGACTTAAAACATTTACTGATGACGATCAAAGAGTACAGCCTTCGGTATGGATTACATTTCAATGTCAAGAAAACAAAATCCTCAACACTGGACCAATAAACAACTTTCTTATCAGTGGAGAAAAGAATAAAGTTGTCAAGGACTTCATTCTTCTTGGGTCAACTATCAACACTCATGGAAGCAGCAGTCAGAAGATCAGACGACGTATTGCATTAGGCAAATCTGCACAAAACCTTTTTAAAGTGTTGAAGAACAAAGATGTCAGCTTGAGGACTAAGGTGCGCCTGATTCAAGGCACGGTATTTTCAGTAACCTCTTATGGACGCGGAAGCTGCGCAGTGAATAAGGAATACCATAGAAGAATTGATGCCTTTGAATTGTGGTGTTGAAGGAGAATACTAAAAGTACCATGGGGTGCCAAAAGAACCAGTAGATCTATTTGGGATGAAGGGCAGCCAGAGTGCTCCTTAGAGGCCAAGATAACCAAAGTTCGTCTCTCATATTTTGGATGTATTGTCAGGAGGGAGCATTTTCTGGAGAAGGATATCATCTTTGGTAAGATGGAGGGTCAGAGAAAAAGAGGAAGACTCCCAACGAGATGGATTGGCCAGGTGGCAGCATTGATGGACTCAAGTGTGGCAACAGTAGTGAGGTTGGCCTAGGATCGGACATTGTTTCGTTCTGGTGTGCATAAGGTAGCTATGAGTTAGTGCTGACTCAATGGCACCTAACAACAACAAACAACACATGTACAAGAAAAATACAACCCAATTAAAAAATGGGCACAAGACATGAATAGACACTTCACCAAGGAAGACATTCTGGCAGAAAACAAACATATGAAGAAATGTTCATGATCATTAGCCATTAGAGAGATGCAAGTCAAAACAAAGATGCACTATCATCTCACACCAGCAGTGACAGCAGTGTTCTAAAAAGCAGAGGACAACAAACGTTGGCAAGGCTATCGAGAGACTGGGATCCTGCTACATTGCTGGTGGGACTGTAAAATGGTCCAACCACTCTGAAGAACCAGTTTCTTGTACTGTTGATTCTTTCTATAGTTTTTCTGTTTTCTATATTTATTTCTGCTCTAATCTTTATATTTCTTTTCTTCTGGTGACTATAGCTTTACTTTACTGGTCTATTTCTAATTGTTGTAGCTGTGTTAATGTGTTGATTTTGGCTTTTTCTAATTTTTGAATGTATGCATTTATTGCAATAAATTGCCCTCTCAGCACTGCTTTTGCCATGTCCCAAAGGTTTTGGTATGTTGTTTTCATTCTCATTTGTTTCTACGAATTTTGTAATTTCACTTTTTATTTGTTCTACTACTCAGTAGCTTATAAGCAGGATGTTATTCCGTTTCCATGTATTTGACTTTATTTCCTTGGTCTTCCTATTGTTGATTTCTAATTTTAAAGATGATTTGTGAAGATGCTTTGTAGTATTTTGATGTTTGTAAATTTGTGGAGGCTTGTTTTGTGGCCCAATACATGGTCTATTCTGGAGAATGTTCCATGTACATTAGAAAAGAATGTGTACTGTGCTGTAGTTGGGTTGAACACTCTGTATACATCTATGAGGTCAAGTTGGTTGACTGCATTAATTCCTTTGTGTCTCTTGCTGCCTTCAAATTCTTTATACTTCGCTTTTTTCAATTTGATTTTAATGTGTTTCAGTGTTTGTTGAGTTTCTTAGATAATGTAGATTCATAACTTTCATCGTATTTGGTACATTTGGGCCATTATTTTTGCAAATTTCTGCTTCTCTCCTTTCGCTAGGATTGCTATTATGTGGATGTGGTGCACTTGATGTTATCCCATAGATCTTTTAGGCTCTGTTCAGTTTTCTTGATTCTTTTCAGACTGTATTATCTCAATTGACCTTTTGAAGTTCACTGATTCGTTATTCTGGTTATTCATATCTCTTTCTGGACCCCATATGATGAATTTTTCACTTCATGTGTTGTATTTTTCAGCTGCAGAATTTGTTTGGTTTCTTTTTATAATTTCTATTCTTTATTTGTATTCTCTGTTAGTTAAGGTATTGTTCTCTTTGTTTCTTTAATTAACTCTTTAAGCATATTTTTGTTTAATAATAGCAATATTCAGATTTTCTTAAAGACAACTTTTTTTACTGTCTCCCTCCACACTCCATGAACTTACTTTATTTCTTTGTATACCTTGTAATTTTTGCTGACATTCTGAATAATATAATGTGGCAAGTCTAAAATTGAGATTTTTCCTGTCCCCAAAGTTTGTTGTTGTTACTTGTTGTGGTTTGTGTTTGTTTTATTTTCCTGTTTAGTGACTTTTCTAAACTCTTTTTGTAGTGTTATTTATTGCTGATATGTGTGACATTAGAAAGTTATGATCTATTAACTTACTTGCCAATGTTTTGACAGTTTTTTAAACCCTTAAGGCCAACAAAACCCCTAAAACAAAGACATAATTGAAACAATTCTCCTGGTTTTTGTCCAGTGATTCTATATTAGGGCATTGCTTAAAACAAGCCAGTTTAACTTCGCCTTAGCTTTCTCTTCCTGCTTACACAAGCCTAAAGAACACAGTCATAAATTTTGGATCTTCTCAGTTATTTTGTGAGCATGCTTCCTATTCTGGGCATGTGCCAATGTCCTTGTTTCTCCAGGTTTTTTGGTTTTCTTCTACATGCCTTGATGTTGTTTCTTGTCACTTTGTTGTTGTTTAGTGAACCCTGTATAGGGTTTCCAAGGAGTGGCTGGTGAGTTTTAACCACCAACCTTGCAATTCAAACTGACCTTGGGGTCGAGTGCTAATCTTATGGCACCACATGATTTCATTGCTCCAACCTTTAAAAATTTCCGCCATAAGTGAAACAAAGGTATGAGTCCATCAAACATATCAAATGCAGTCAAGCAAGCACAATTCTTTAAGAACAGGTTCTTACAGCCCATTCTTATATCAGCAAGTATACCAGGAAAATGGGCTGCCATTGGCCTAAGTCAGGTAAGGACTAGGTGGACATAGGTAGATAAGTTAAAACACCACAATACTGTCTTACTAAAATATAAGTTTCTTTTTTCATGAAGCACACCCCTGGTCGTGTTTTTATTGAATTTCAGAGTTTTGAAAAATTTGGTTCTTACAATTTGCCAGCCACAGGGTCGCTATGGGTTAGAACCAACTCAACAGCACACAAGAACAACAATTGTTGCTTTATTGATGTTATCCTTATCAAATTTTGGAATTTCCTATTCCATCATTTTCCTTGATACCACCCCATAAGTTTCCATTTTAATTGTATACTAGAATTCCAGAATAATAAAAAAATCATGTTAATGTTTTAGATTTAGATATTAGAAATATCAAGTTACTGATAAGACTGTAACGTGAGTTGTTCTCTCTGAAAGAAATTACAGATCAGTTAAGATAAGAGCTAGTTGTGCTTTTTTTAAATTTATTTTTTATATCTGTTCACTTTTTTAAATTATTGTTAGCCTGTGTTTTCTGTCGAAAAACTGATGATTGTCCCAATAAATATGGAGAAAAGAAAACTAATGAGAAATGGAATCTCACTGTACACTACTATTGTTTGGTGAGTATAATTTATAAATTTTAGATATTTGGTATTCTTCTAAAGAAAAGAATTATATCTTACCACTGATATTTGAGAATTATGTAAGTCATTTAACCTCTGGTTCTCATTGTACCTATATATAAAAATGACATCTTTCAAATATCAAATTGTAAGGCTAAAATTAGAGCATAATCACCGGTACCTGTTAGTTTTTTTCCTAACCCTTCAACATGTAAGTGTAAAGAAGGAAAAAGAAAATGGTTATGTATAAAAAGGAGTTTTACTTTTTACCACTGTGTTTCGCTTGTTGCTAATGATAAATTTCAGAAAAAACTTGTTTGAAGATTAAGAGTAGTATTTTATTTCACAGAGAACCAGGGAAGAAAAATTCAGTGTAAAGGTAGTAAATATTTGTGAAAAGGGAAGCAGGTTAACTTATGGGTCATTCAGAAGAAAAAAATAAAAGAATTTCAGACTGAAAATTAGCCTTTCATTTGCTTGCCCTCCCCTCATCATTCTGCCAATTTCTCATTGAGTTTGTACCTCAAGATATAGATGCCAAGGTTACATTTACACAGGCACTGTTTCTTGGTCTGTGTTAGTTATGCATTACTGTTTAACAAATCATTGTTAGACATAACAGTTTAAAATATTTTCATGTCACGCAGTTTCTGAAATCTAGGATCGGTCAGCTTCACTGTATAGTTCTGGCTCAGGGTTTCATAAGACTGCAATTGAGATGTCTGTCAGCTAGGGTGCAACCATCTGACGGCTTGACTGACTAGAAGATTCACTTCTAAGATGACTCACTCACATGACTTTTGGCCTTAGTTCCTCCTACTACTGGCAGGAAGCCTCGGTTTCTTACCTCATGTTCTTATCCATAGGGCTGATCAAGCATGATAGCTGCCTTCCCCCAGAGCAAATGATCAGAGGTGGGGACACATGCACTAAAATAGAACCTTATGACTTTGTCCTCAAAATGTCACATAAGTCTAGCTCACACATAAGGGGAGAATTGTTAGGTTTCACTTCTTGAAAGAAGGAATAGGTATAAATTTGTGGACATATTTTTAACACACACATCCCACCCCACCTCCCACACCGCATCCCATACACACGCGTATTCACGCTTCTTTGAGAAACGATCTAAAAATTTCTCGGTAGTTCTCTTAAAAATAAAATTTTGTGTTTCAATAACCCTGTGAATTAAATAGACTTTATTCTGGTCTAAGAACTCAGTCACTTGAATTCATGACTTGTAACATGACTTGAAAAAAGAGTATGAAGTTGGCATTCCAAATATGTTAGTAATTTGAAGTATTTTAAATTTTATAGTACAAAAATTACTTTCTGTTTTTTCTAAAAGTTTATTTTAACTTTTTATGCTATAGAATTGGGGATGCTTATTAGTAAGCAAGTTACTTTTTCAGAGATAATTTATATCATTTTCATGGTTCTTTAGGCTATGCTGCACTGATTTAAGTTAAGCCTATTTAAACAAATTTTTTTCTGTGAATGTAATTTTGAATGAATGTGTTTAAGGTAATCATGTCTGAATTTATATTTTGTTATGGCTTATTAATGAGAATAATAATGTGTAAACCATCAAACAATATCATTAATGTCACATGCAAATAAAATATTGCTGAAGATATTTCAAAAACGGCTGCAACAAGTACATAGACAGGGAACTGCCAGTGGTTTAACTCAAATTCAAAGAAGGACTTGGAAAAAAGGAATGTCAATGCTGATGTCAAATTGATCTTAGCTAAAGGCAGAGAATATAAGGAAGATGTTTACCTGTACTTATTGACTATGCAAAGGCTTTCGACTTTGTGGTTCATGAGAAGCTATATGGACAACACTGTGTAGAATGGCTATTCCAGAATACTTAATCAGGAAACATCTGTATATAGACCAAGAGGCAGTTGATCAGAACAAGGGAATAGTGAATGGTTTAAAATCAGGAAAGGTGTGTGTCAGGGTTGTATTCTTTCACCATACTTATTCAGTCTGTCTGCTGAGCAAATAATACAAGAAGCTGGATTTTATGAAGCAGAACATGACATCGGTATTTTAGGAAGACTCATTAATCTGCAATATGCAGATGGTACAAGTCACTGGAGAAGGATATCACGTTTGGTAAGGTGTAGGGTCAGAGAAAAAGAGGAAGACCCCCAACGAGGTGGATTGGCCAAGTGCCAGCATCGATGGACTCAGGCATGGCAGCAGTAGTGAGGTTGGCCCAGGATCGGGCAGTGTTTCATTCTGCTATGCATAAGGTCGCTATGAGTAGGTACCGACTCAGTGGCACCTAATAGCAACAACAACATGCAGATGATACAACCTTTCTTGCTGAAAGTAAAAAGGACTTAAAATACTTAGTGATGAAGATCAAAGACCATAGCCTTCATTATGGGTTGCACCTCAACGTAAATACAAGAAAAATCCTCACCACTGGACCAATAAACAATGTCCATATAAATGAAGAAAAGATTGAAGTTGTCAAAGACTTAATTTTGCTTAGATCCACTATCAACACTCATGGAAGCAGCAGTCAGGAAATCAAATGACGTATTGCACTAGGCAGATCTGTTGCACAAGACCTATTTAAAGTATTAAACAGCAAAGATGTCAGGTTAGTGAGGGTCTATTGCTGGGATCCAAACCTTCACATCAGCAGGCACCTAGGCAAAGACTTAACAATATATCCATTGAAAACGGAAAAACAAAAGAAGCCAATCAGCATGTAAAAAATGTTGATATATTGTGCCAGGGGTTGCATGGTATGTAAAAAGCATGTGTTACTGTTGACCTAGAGTTCCAAAAGGTTAGGCATAGAGCCTAGTCTACAAACTAGTATCTCTTATTTATAGTCCTATGCTCTGTGTGTGTGTGTGTGTGTGTGTGTGTGTGTGTGTGAGTGTATGTGATTTGCACTTCCTTAACATATTTAAATGGTGACGGTCAAATCAGATTAAATAAATGAGGCATTTAAGTTAAATAAAATTTCCCTGTAAATATATCTTTTTTTGATTATGAATCCAGGTTTATGTTTACTGTTTTAATTTTTTTAATTAGAATTAATATTCCAGTTATATATTTTTACTATAAAACCAATTTCTTATGAGTTTATTTTCTAATTGATAATTTAAATTTCATAGTTGATGTCAAGTGGAATTTGGCAGAGAGGTAAAGAAGAAGAAGGAGTTTATGGTTTTCTAATAGAAGACATCAGGAAGGAAGTGAATAGAGCTTCTAAACTGGTAAGAAAATTTTACTTGTTAAATTGAGTACCATAAATGTAATCAATACTCTGGAAGTATTTTCTGTACGATTGTCTACTAGAAGTGTGTAAGCCTTTTGAATTTGTATTCCAGTGCCTTAACAGGGACCATATATGGTAAGGTTTTGATTTTGTACTAATGAGAGAGAGCCTAACTAGCCTAGATAATACATTTGACAATATTGACTTCACTTCCTTCTTTTTCCAGTTTACTTATCATCTGACCTCTGTTTTTTATATTTCTTCCCAGAAATGCAGTGTTTGCAAGAGAAATGGTGCTTCAATTGGATGTGTTGCACCCCGATGTAAACGAAGTTACCATTTTCCATGTGGACTTGAGAAAGAATGTATTTTCCAATTTACTGGCAATTTTCAGTGAGTTATTTAATTGTTGAATATAAAAGATGAATGAATGTTAAGGAATAAATGAAAATAGATATTACAATGATACAATTCCCTTGTGAAATTTCTTTTTAAAGTGGCACTGAGTTTATACATACATACTTGACATACATTTAATGACAATGGAGATAATTTGCATTTAGTGTATTAGGAGTATATTCATTAGAATATTCATTAGTTTATGTAATTTTCTATCCGCCAAGTCTCGAGAAGTGCCATTTTTGAAAAGAGCCTAATGGTTAATATTCACCCTCAGCTTATAGCTCTAGGATTCAACATGAAACTGTTAATTTATTCATATTCAGTGAAAATTTATACCTTATATAAATCTAGATTTTTATGTCATTCTTTAGAATTAATAGTACTTTTTTCCCCCAGAGGGCTTATATATTTCCTACTGAGTAAATTGAAGGCATTTGAATTTGATTGAGTCCAACAAAATGAATATGTCCTGGAATGCCCCTGATAATGTTTGTTTTCAGAGTCCAACTTTAAACATCAAGATTTTCTGAATTTTGCCATTTGACTATAATAAGTGTTCTTATTTTTTTAAGTTGTTGTTGTCTTGGAGCAAAGTTAGATTGGCACCATGGAATGAAACTGCATTTTGGAAAGTGCAGATGGGAATAGTTTAAGTATATAAGGAGGAGATTGTTATTTGCATTTTATTAAATGATTGAAATATTAGGCGTAGGTTCCTGTCTTTAATTTTATATAGTATTGAACAATAAGTATATACATTCAATTCTAACAGTATTGCAGCATTCTGGATATACTGCTAGTTAACTAAAATTCTGTGAGGTAGATCTCACCACCAAAACCTTCACATATTGAAGGTCCAGCAATCTCAAATTGTGAGTCAAATTTGTTAATAACAAGGCTTTAGTCTACTAGAATGTGTGAATGAATTTTCCTCTTACCTATATAAATTGCAATTCTTAAACCTAATTGTGTTTTGTAATTAATTAGAAGTTGCTTTTAACTCATTTGCATTTTTAGATCATTTTGTTGGGACCATCGACCTATTCAAGTAATTCCACCTAGTAATTATAGAGACGCATTACCGTGCACCATTTGCTTGGAATTTATTGAGCCTATTCCAACCTATAGCATATTACGAAGCCCTTGTTGTAAAAATGCTTGGTTTCATAGAGACTGTTTACAGGTAAGCTATGGTTTCTTACTGATTTGAATTTTAAATTGGAAAGAGTTTGGCATTTGTATTTTATTTTTTACTATTGGTGATTTTTATAACTTTTTTGAAGATTATTTTACATATCACAAAAATTATTCTCTTCACTTTAAGTACTACCTCTTAATGTATATTTATAAGTTTATATTGTTTTTATGTAGGAATTTTGTTCATATTTCACTGTGAACCAAACAGATTGTAATTCTTAAATTTTAATTAACCTATTTAAAATAGAGACTAGAACATGAAATGATCATTTGATGATAAATGATTTAAATATTGAAAGAAGCCAAGTTGTTTTTTTAACTCTGAACAGGTTACCATTAACGTCTTGACAAGGAACTAGTTTCTGTCTAATAAAAGTATTCTTTGATAGTCACAATGTATTCCAAATGTGATGACTTTGTTGTTGTTGTTAGGTGCCATCTAGTCAGTTCTAACTCATAGCTGCCCTGTACAGTGTTTCCAAAGAGCAGCTGGTGGATTTGAACGTCTGACCTTTTAGTTAACAGTCCAGTGCAGTCTGATGATTAGTTTTCAAATAAACGAAAATACATGACATTAAGCACAATTTAATTTTTAAAAGGAATTCGTTAGATTTTAGCTTGTAGCTATTATTCATGTCAAATATATAGTTGTTGTTGTTATGTGCCGTGGCATCAGTTCCAACTCATAGCGACCCTGTATAGGGTTTCCGAGGCTGTAATCTTTACGGGAGCAGAAAGCCTCATATTTCTGCCGCAGAGCAGCTGGTAGTTTTGAACTACTGACCTTGTGGTTCACAGCTCGATTCGTAACCACTATGCTACCAGAGCTCCTTAAAATATATGGTAACACATATAAAATAAACAGTTAATAGAATGCCAGATAAAGGGTTTACTAAAGTTTAACATTGTTTTTAAAAACATGTTTAGCAAAATGATTTACTATTCATTACAAATTGTGTGCACACTTTTAAAAAAATGAAATGTAAGTACTCTTATTTTTGTTTATAGTCAGCTCTGGTAGCGTAGTGGGTTGGAATCGACTCCACGACGCACAACCACCACCACTACAATAATCAAAGAAGTTTAGCTTGATTAATTACTTTTTGAAATGGTCATTGGGCTTTTATATTTAGCAGTATTTGGTAAGTGGCAGGATTAAGCCAATTTTATTAAGGAAATATTAGAAATTGTTCATTCTTATAAAACATTGTTATAGGGATCTTAGTGAAGTGAATAAACAGCATCATAAGTATCATTCCTTACCTATTGAGAAAGGTCACATAAGATGTAATAAAAATAATAATTTATCTTCATTAAGAGCTTATATTTGAGCGAATGTAATTGCTATCAAATACGTTGTCATGTTCATTTTATAGAATTATATTATTTTTAAGAGAAGTAAAATGTATTCCATTTATATGTTAATAATAAAGCAGAGTTTCTCAAACATAACTTAGTACTCATAGAGCTTTTTATGAACATTTTGGAAATACTGATTTTTTTTTCTATTATTGTCTTTAAAAAGTAGAAATAATATTATTGACAAAATAGTCTCTCATGCACTTATAAAATCTTAGCCATGGTGATACCTGTAACATAATTACTAATATTAAATATAAAGATTAATTTATTACTTGGTCAGATCACATCAAGACAGGGCTAATTCTTGTTGAGTCACTTCCTCTAAATGAGCTCCACTGTTTTGTTTAGTTACTTTTGTATCAGAGTGTTAACTGAAATCATAAACAGAGTCTCCCGAGTCTAATTAACTGTAACAATACCTGTAGAGTTCTTTGTTCTTTTGAAAAATTTCTGAGCTTCATTAATATAGTTAAAGAAAGAATGACCCTGTGTGATAGAATGAGAATTGAAATATATGAAATTTCATTATTTATAATATAATTACTACAAATGTTTAGTGGGATTTTGTGAGGAGAGACTGGAAATTAATATAAAAGAAATTGGTAAAACCTTATTGGTCTGTGTCTAGATAATTGTCACTATTTTTTTCAGTTTGGATTTCTCCATCATTGCTACAGTCTTGTTGGCATTTTCCATGTATATTGGGCTTTTTTTTTTCTTCTTCTTACAGATATTTCTTTGTGTCATGTCTTATATTTATTAAAATCTCAAATGTCTTTCTACCATTACTCCTTTGGGTTCATAAAAAAGATTTCAGTAACTTTTTGCTTTCATATATTGTATGAATGTGCTATTTACTAGTTGCTTGAACCCAAGATCCTCTTTAGTCACTTTTCATCACCATCTACAAATCACTCACCAAGTCTCATAGGGCTACCAGATAAATGTTTTGTGTCTGTATCTTTTTAGTTTCAACCCTACTTTTTCTGCTTTAAGTTCAGACACTTATTTTTTTGACTTTACCCTACTGATCTTTCAATTAATTCTTCAAACTACTCTCTTTGATTTTCCTGTCTAGCCTTCATTACTTAGTTCAGTCTTGTCAGAATGTAATCCTTAAGTATACTACTAGTCACAGCTCCTTAATCACAGATGTTCTGTCTTGCTACTGAGTCATCTATACATATTGTCCCCTCTCCTTGGATTGTCTTTTTTGCTGTTTTCCTGTAAACTTCTGTTTTTTCTTCCAAACTTCTTGGGCTTTTCCAAAGCCATTTTGGCTAGGCTCTTACAAAAACAGACATTTTTTAAAATACTTAATAACACTGTATTATAAGTGTGTATAATGGCATGGCTACTTAAATTAATTTGAGGTGATGCAGGTAATTTTCAGTTTCTGTTTTGGGCCTAGCACTTTAACCATTGTACCACCAGGGCTCTTTCATAACAATCTGTTGTGGTTAAGTGCTATTGAGTCAGTTTCAACTCATAGCAACCCTGTATGGGGTTTCTAAAGGAGCTCTGGTAGCGTAGTGGTTGCGAATTGGGCTGTGAACCACAGGGTCAGCAATTCGAAACTACCAGCTGTTCCATGGGGGAAAGATGAGGCTTTCTGCTCCCGTAAAGATTTACATCCTCAGAAACCCTGTAAAGGGTCATTATGAGTTGAAACTGACCAACCATAGGGTTTCTAAGGAGTTGCTGGTGAATTTGAGGTGCCAACCTGCTGTTTAGCTGTCCAGTTCTTATTCAACTTAATAATCTGTTGATTGTTGATTAGTGCAATTGAGTCATTTGCTACTCATAGCCATCCTTTATAATGTTTCCAAAAGCAGCTGGTGGATTTGAACTGCTGACCTTGCAGTTCAAATATAACTGGAGGTCCAGTGTTTATCCTACTGTACCATACCAGGACTCTATAACAACCTTTGTTGTTTTGTTATGTGCCATCAGTTTCTTACCGACTTATAGCATCCCTATATAGGCTTTCCAAATAGTGGCTGGTGAGCTTGAACTACCAACCTTGCAGTTCAAAATGACTTTGCTGTCCAGCTCATTAACCCACAGTGCCACACCAGGACATCATAACGACCTATTGTTAAGTGCCATCGAGTCAGTTCCAACCCATAGCCACCCTATATAGGTTTTCAAAGGAGCAGCTGGTGAGCTTGAAGTTCCATTCTTGCAGTTCAAACTGGCTTTGCAATCCAGCACAGCACCTCACCAGGACTCTACTATAGCAACCTTGTTGTTGGTGTTGTTAGGTGCCATTGAGTCGGTACCGACTCATAACAACTTTATGCATAGCAGAATGAAACACTGCTCGATCCTGGGCCAACCTCACTACTGTTGCCATGCTTGAGTCCATCAATGCTACCACTTGGCTATTCCATCTCGTTGGGGGGGTCTTCCTCTTTTTCTCAGACCCTCCACCTTACCAAACATGATATCCTTATCCAGCGACAGGTCCCTCTTGACAATATGTCCGAAGTATGAGAGACAACGTTTGGCCATCTTGGCCTCCAAGGAGCGCTCTGGCTGCACTTCTTCCCACACAGATCTGCTGTTTCTTATGGCAGCCCATGGCACTTTCAGTATTCTCCTCCAACACCATACATAACTCAAAGGCATCAATTCTTCTGTGGTCTTCCTTATTCACTGTCCAGTTTTCACATGCATATGAGGTTTTTGAAAATACCATAACTTGGATCAGGCTCACCTTAGTCCTCAAGCTGACATCTTTGCTCTTCAACATTTTAAAAAGGTCTTGGCTGAAAGCAGAGACTATAAGAAAGATGTTTACCTGTGCTTTATTGACTGCGCAAAGGCTTTCGATTATGTGGATCATGACAAGCTATGGATAACATTGCGAAGTATGAGTATTCTGGAATACTTAATTGTGCTCACAAGGAATCTTTATATGGATCAAGAGGCAGTTGTTCAAACAGAACATGGGAACACTGAATGGTTTTAAATTAAAAAAGGTGTGCGACAAGGTTGTATTCTTTCACCATACTTATTTAACCTGTATGCTGAGCAAATAATATGAGAAGCTGGGTTCTGTGAAGAAAAACGTGGCATCAGGATTGGAGGAAGACTCATTAAAAACCTGCGATATGCAAATGATACAACCATGCTTGCTGAAAGTTAAGAGGACTTAAGACATTTCCTGATGAAGATCAAAGAGTACAACCTTTGATATGGAACACATCTCAGTTTAAAGAAAACAAAAATCCTGACCACTGGACCAATAAACAACATTCTTATTAATGGAGAAAAGATTGAAGTTGCCAAGGAATTAATTCTTCTTGGATCAACTATCAACACTCATGGAAGCAGCAGTTAAGAAACCAAACAGTATATTGCATTTGGCAAATCTGCTGCACAAGACCTTTATTACATGTTGAAGAGCAAAAATGTCAGCTTGAGGACTAAGGTGTGCCAGACTCAAACCATAGTATTTTCAGAAACCTCATCTGCATGCAAAAGCTGGACAGTGAATAAGGAAGACCGTAGAGGAATTGATGCTTTTGAGTTATGGTGTTGGAGGACAATATTCAAAGTGCCATGGGCTGCCAAAAGAACCAATAGATCCGTTTTGGAAGAAGTGCAGCCACAGTGCTAGAGTGCTCCTTGGAGGCCAAGGTGGCCAAAGTTTGTCTCTCATACTTCAGACACATTGTCAGGAGGGACCAGTTGCTGGTGAAGGATATCATGTTTGGTAAGGTGGAGGGTCTGAAAAAAAGAGAAAGACCCCCAACGAGATGGATTGGCCAAGTGGCAGCATCGATGGACTCAAGCGTGGCAGCAGTACTGAGGTTGGGCCAGGATTGGTCAGTGTTTCATTCTGCTGTGCATTAGGTCACTATGTGTCAGTACCAACTCAGTGGCACCTAACAACAACAAAAGGGGTCTAATATATATTAAACGTATAAGTATGTGCTACAATTTTTTTTTTTTATTGGGAGCTAAGAAGTTCTGGTAGGGTAGTGGTTATGAATCGGGCTGCAAACTGCAAGGTCAGCAGTTCGAAATGACTAGCTGTTCCTTGGGAGAAAGGTGAGGCTTTCTGTTCCCATGAAGATTTACAGCCTTGGAAACCCTGCACAGGGTCGCTATGAGTAAGAACCAACTCCACAGCACATAACTACCACCACTCTAATAAACTTACATTTGTTTTTTCTTGAATACTGCTCTGCTTGCTGATTTTGTATTTATATTTGCTCAAGCGGTAAGGTTGGGTTTTATAGTTATGTTCTTATAGGTAGAAAATTACTGTACAGATCAAGTTTAAAAATAGAAACATCCCCAAGGAAACATCAAGGCAAGTGGTCGGGTCCACTCAGTGCAAACCCCCTTCCAAGACTAAGACTCAATGGGAATACATGCTGTGATTGGTGACCACGCTCGACACCGATAAGGGGAAGTGAGGGATAAACAGCAAATGAAGCGGTGAGCTAAGCCCTACAATGTTCAGTAGACTTCTGTGAACCCAGGTGAAGACCTGGTTAGCCAGCAGTGTGGCAAGACCTGGGGACTCTTGGGCCCAGAGTCAGTGACATAGCCACAGAGGACTAGAGTGGAGAGTGAAGCATCCAGCTGATATGAAGAGAGGGCATATGCACAAGAACACCCACACTTGCAGATAATACCCACTTGTCCTGGCTTCAGTGACTGGATGATCAGAGCTCAACCAGAAGTAAAAAGAAGAGGAAGAGAGTACTTCTGGCGCTTCCCGGACCAGGCAGCTCAGAGTAGACACTAGAGAGGGAGAAAAAGGAATAGTTAGAAACACCACACTAAAAGGCTTGTAAGTCCGTCTTCTGCCTATGACTGATTGGAATACCTAAAATGGGGCTACAGCGTACCCAGTGAAAGAGGCTTCTTGCGGATCCTTTGCAATACATAAAACTATAGGTAGAAACCGGAACCACAACCAGATCTCCAGAGATGAGAAATCTCCACTTGAAAGGACGAGCAGACCAGCCTGGAGTGGCTAGAAGAATAAAAGATACCTCTTGAAAGAAAGACCTGTAGGAAAAATGGAGGCAGATGGACTGTTACTACAAGAACAAACAAATCACTTCCCTAGGAAACATCAAGGCAAGTGGCCAGGTCCTCTCAACGCAAACCCCTTCCAAGACTAAGACTGAACGGAAATGCACGCTCTGATTGGTGACCACACACATCACCGATGGGGGGAAGTGGGGTAAAAGCAGCAATGAAGCGGCAAGCTAAGCCCTACAATGTTCAGTGGACTTCTGTGGACCCAGTTGGGGACCTGGTTGTCAAGCAGTGTGAAGAGGCCTGGGGACTCTTGGGCCCAGAGTCAGTGGCATGGCCATGGAGGACTCGAGAGGAGAGTTATTTAATCTTTAATAACAGATTTAAAATTAACAGTGTCCTTTCTGTTTTCCACTGTAGGTTCAAGCAATAAATGCAGGAGTGTTTTTCTTCCGGTGCACAATATGCAACAATAGTGATATATTTCAGGAAGAGATGTTGAGAATGGGAATCCATATCCCTGAAAAGTAAGTAACTTTTAAATGTTGTGGTGTGGTGGTGGTTATGTGCCGTGGAGTTGGTTCCAACCCATAACGACCCTGTACGTGGTTTCCGAGGCTGTAAGTCTTTACAGGAGCAGAAAGCCTCATCTTTTTCAGTGAAACAGCTGGTAGTTTTGAACTGCTGACCTTGTGGTTCGCAGCCTGATTTGTAACCACTACGTGTAGGCTTTCATAAAAGAAAAATAAATTATTTATGTGTCGTTAAGTGATCCTGAAGAGAGAACCATTTTGAAGGGTGACATGGTAAATTTCCCATTACCCCCAGAATTATTAGTTCTTTGAGAATAGGAACTGTGACTTCAGTGTTTCATGAGTTAATATATGTAGTTGTGTGCTGTCAAGTCACTTCTGACTCATGGGGACCCTGTATGGGGTTTCCAAGGAGAGCTGGTGGATTTGACTGTCTACCTTGTGCTTAGTAGTCCTGCACTTATCCTATAGCGCTACAGCAGGACTCCAGTATTGATTATTTGTTGTTGTTGAGTGCCATCGAGTCGATTCCGACGCATAGAGAACCCTGTATAGGGTTTCCAAGGAGCAGCTGCTGAGTTTGAACTGCTGATCTTGCAGTTCAAATGGCTTTTCAGTCTGGCGCATTAACCCACAGCGCCACACCAGGACTCCTAATACTGTTTATAGTTTTTAATAAATACTTCAGCTATGCATAATTTTAGTTGATTTATATACGATTATAATAAGTTTCAAAGTAATATTTAAAAATATCTAGATATTAAGATACAGTTTTAAATATATGAAAATTTTCTTAGTGCTCAGAAATGAACAGTCAAGGCGTAATTAGACTCAAAATGAAAAAAGCATGGAAGTGAAATAATAGAACAACTGCAAGTTTTCACATTTCTGTGCAGTGTGAAAATTCACAATCAGAATAACTATAGGATAGAATGACACTGTTGTTGTTATTAAGTGCCATCGAGTTGGTTCCAACCCATAGTGACCCTGTGTAGGGTTTCCGAGGAGCAGCTGGTGAGCTTGAACTGCCGACCTTGCAGTTCAAACAGCTTTGGCAGTCTGGGACCTTAACCCACAGCGCCACACCAAGACTCCTAATGGATTTATAGCTTGAAGGGAATGAGTGAGTCTAAAAGAAAGGTTTAATTCTCTTTCTTAATTATGAGAATTTTTTTTTAAGATTATTGATGTAACACTTTTGGTCAAAGTATGCTTGCTTTCATATGTTGATTAATTTACAGAGATGCATCTTGGGAATTAGAGGAAAATGCTTATCAAGAGCTTTTGCAGCACTACGAGCGCTGTGATGTCCGGCGTTGTCGTTGCAAAGATGGACGAGAATATAATGCACCTGATAGGTATTTCTGAAAGTTCGGTTTTGCTTACCAAAAAATAGTTGTTATCAAATTGATTTCAACTCATAATTATTCAGTTTGTGTCATAGTACAACTGTACTCCATAGGATTTTCAGTGGCAGATGTTTCAGAGTTAATCACCAGTCCTTTTTTCAAGATGTCTCAGAGTAGACTCTAATTTCCAACAGGCTACTGTAGCCTTGTTTCATATAGTAATGAGTGAATTGTCTGGGTTGTCTGCAAAAAATCAACTGAGATTTTGCTAGTTTTGAGACATTTTCCTATGCAGATCTTCCAACTCCTGATTCCCTAATATCTTGCCCTTTAGTTGATTCCAACTCATAGTGACCCTATAGGACAGAATAGAACTGTCCCCATAGGCTTTCCAGAAGCAGACTGCCACATCTTTCTCCTGCAGAGTGGCTGTAGATTAGAACATTAACCTTTTGATATGTAGCTGAGTGCTTCACCACTGTAGTACCTAGCCTCCTCTAGTCCCTGGCCCTTTTATTATACTTGTTACCATATAATTGAAATTATTTAACTTTATCTTTGCCTTACTTAAAGCAATCTTCAAAGTTTTGGATCTCATTGTGGTTCTGATTATTATTTTGTTGTTCTGTGCCATCCAGTCGGTTCTGACTCATAACGAACGTAAGCACAACAGGCTGAAACCTGCCCTATTCTACGTCAGCCTCACAGTTGCTATGTTTGATTCCATTGTTGCTGCCTCTCTGTCAGTCCATCTTTTTAGGGATCTTCCTCTTTTTCGCTGACTCTTCACTTTACAAAGCATGATGTCCTCCTCCAGGGTATGGTTCTATCTGAAAACATGTCCAAAGTACAAGAGACAGAGTCTCACCATCCTTGTAAGGAACTTTCTGGCTGTACTTCTTATAATACAGATTTGTTTGTTCTTCTGGTAGTCTATGATACTTTCACTATTCTTTACCAACCTCGTGATTCCTCTACAGTTTTTCTTGTTCATTGTTCAATTTTCACATGCATATGAGCCAACTGATAATTGCCTTGGGTCAGATGTAGCTTAGTCCTCAAACTGACATCTTTGCTCTTGAATGCTTTCAACAGGTCTTTTACAGCGTATTTTCCTAATGCAGTACGTCATTTAATTTCTTAATTACTGCTTCCAGTGAGTGTTGGTTGTGGATCCAAGCATAATGAAAGTCTTTGACAATTTCAGTCTTTATTTATCATGGTATTATTTATTGATCCAGATGTAAGGACTTCGTTTTCTTTTCATTGAGTTGCAATTTGTACTGAAAGCTATAAGTGTATTTTGTGTAAGTATTTCAAGCCTTTTTGGCTTTAGCAAGTAAGGTGATGTCATCAGTATCATGGGTTTTTAATGAGTCTTCATTTAATCCTCGTAACTCTTTCTTCTTTATATGCTCCCAACTTCATGGGTTTTTTGCTCAACACACAGATTGAATAAGTAAGATGAACGATTACAACGATGAAACCCACCTTATCTGATTTTAAAATATTCATATCTCTTGTTCTGTTCTAATGGCTGCCTCTTGATTTATGCACAGATTCTTCATGAGCACAATTAAGTGTTCTGGAATTACCATTCTTTATATTGTTATTTATGTTGCTGTTGTTCAGTTGGTTCCAACTCATAGCACCCTGTATAGGTTTTCTGAGGAGTAAGTAGTGGGTTTGAACTGCTGATCTTGTGGTGCACAGTCCAGTGCTGAACTTACAGCACCACATCAGGAGTCCATAGTGTCTATAGCCCACTCAGTTGAATGTCATTGTATAGTCATTAAAGCACAAGTAAACATCTTTCTTATTCTTTGCTTTCCTCCAAGATCCATTTGACATCAGTAATGATATCCCTTTTTCATTCATGTCTTGCTCTAAATCCAAATTGACTTTCTGGCAGCTTTCTTGTCAATGTATAACTGCAACTGTACTTAACTATCTTCAGCAAAATTGTAATTATGTTAATGGTATTGTTCCATGATTTCAAACTTGTTGGGTTACCTTTCTTTGGAATGGAAACAAATATGGATCTCTTCCATTCTGTCTTCCGGATTTCTTGGTATAGATGAATGAATGCCTCCAGTGCTTCAGTTTGTGGAAACACTTCAATTTGTATTCCATCAATTCTTGGAGCCCTGTGTTGTTTGTTTGTTTGTTTTTTAAATGTTTTATTGTGAATTATATGATAGTTTACATGGGAGAACATTAGTTTTACATTCATTCTATCATATATCGTTTCATTGCCATGGTTCCAATACCCTCCATGCATCATATACCCAAAAGGGTATACCCTGCAAGCCTGCCCCCTACACTACCCCTCCCCCAATCTTCAGCACACAGTGGTGTCCTGTTTTTTGCAATTGCTTTCCATCCAGCCTGAACTTCTTCCTTCAGTACTAGTGGTTCTTACTCATATAGTGCCTCTTAAAATGGCTGTGTATTGGCAAATTCTTTTTGGTGCAGTGGCTTTGTACACTTCCATCTTCTTTTGATGTTTTCTGTATTATTCAATATGTTGCCCACATTGTTGTTGTTAACTGCCATCAAGTTAGTTTAGAGTCATAGTAACCCTATATAGGGTGTCCAATTGCAGCCGATAAGTTTGAACCACTGACCTTCTAGTTAGCATTCCAGTGCTCATCCTACAGCACCACATCAAGACTCCAGTTTCTTACCCATGTTGTTGTTGTTAAGTGCTGTTGAGTTGGTTTCAACTCATAGCAACTTTGTATAGTGTTTCTGTGGAGTGTCTGGTGGGTTTGAGCTGCCGACCTCTAAGTTCAGACTGATCTTGTGCTTATCCTTCAGTGCCACACAGGGACTGTATTATACCCATGTTGTTGTTGTTAAGTGCCATTGAGTCAGTTCCAACCCAAAGTGACCCTGTATAGGATTTCTGAGGAATGACTGGTGAGCTTGAACCATCGACCTTGCCATTCAAACTGACTTGGCACTCTAGTGCATTACACACAATGCCACACCAGGGCTCCATTAAACCCATGGAATTTGTCAGTATTGTAAGTTGAGGTTTGAATGCTTTCTACAGATCTTTCAGCTTGAGAAATGCTGAGCGTGTTCTTCATTTTGTTTTTTTAACTCTAGATCTTTGCACATTTTATTATTCTGAGTTGAGTGAAGGTTTACAGAGTAGATCTTTAGTTTTACATTTGACAATTCATAGGTTTTGCTTCATTACAGTAATGGCAATCCTTGTCATGTTCCATGAGTTAACAATATGTACCTCTATTTCCTTTCTCTTGGTTGCCTCCCAGTGTCTCTTGCTACCTTTATCTTTCCTTTGCCAACCTTCCTTTTGTTATATATTGCCTGCCTTGTCAATACTGTTAACATGTGTCTGCTCTCTTGCCCATGAATAATTCCCTGCTCTCTGCTCTCCCAGTCACCCCCTCTGATAACTATCATATAATATTTTCTTTTTGCATCCGTGCTTTCTAACAATATTTGCCCTTTTGTGATTGACTAATTTTGCTCTTTTTAGTTGGGAGTTTTTTAATGACTTGATCAATTTCTTTTCTTGTTATAGGTCTATTCAGTTTTATGTTTTGTTGTTGTTAGTTGGTTCCGACTGTCTAGTTGGTTCTGACTCATAGCAACCCTATTTAGGGTTTCTGAGGAGTGACTGGTGAGTTTGAACTACCAATCTAGTGGTTCAAACTGACCTTGCAGTCTAGCGCATTTATCATGCAGCACCACACCAGGTCTCTTGGTGTAGGCCTATTCAATTTTATTTCTGTCTGTGTTAGTTTGAGTAGTTTGTGTATTTCTAGAAATTTATCCATTTCTTCTAAGTTTTCAAATTTGTTGGAGTACAGTTCTTCATAGTATTCTGTTATGCTTTTTATTTCCATTGGTTTTGTAGTGATATTACTCATATCGTTTCTTGTTCATGTTATTTGGATCTTTGTCTTCTCTTTTGTTAAATTTTCCATTAGTTTGTCAATTTTATTAATCCTTTCAAAGAACCAGTTTCATGTCTTGTTGATTTTTTCCATTGTTTTTCTATTTTCTGTTTCATTTGCTCTAACCTCTATTATTTCTTTTCTTTTGGTGGCAGTAGGCTTACTTTGTGATCTTTTTCTAATTGTTGGAGATTTTGGATTAAGGTGATTTGGGTTCTTCTTTTTGGATGTGTGCATTTATTGCTATAAATTGCACTCTATCCACTGTGTCCCAAATGTTGGGGAAAGTTGTATTTTTGTTTGACTCAAGGAATTTTTCAATTTAATTTTTGATTTGATCTGTTACCCAGTTGTTTTTT